TTTGGTGCTTTATTAAAATTTTGAATTAGAGTAAGCAATATTTAAGGGTGTTTTAATTTCGGTTAAATATGTTGAGAGTGAATTATAAATACAACAAAAGGAGTGTAATAATCCATTTGAAGTTTGAATACTACCACTAATTTTAAATATAAGATCTATATTGTAGTAAAATTTTTGTGTGAATGTTATACTGAGGATAACACCAAGGGCTATTTATGGGGGGTTTGGATAGAAACCAAACCATGGTTTCAGAAGTGCTTTTACGGATTACGAAGTAAATATATGGAGAAAGTTACCTCGTTTTGCAAAAAAGTGATTCTGAAACCTAGGTTTTGGTTTTGTCAAACCAGAAGCATTTTTAGTGCCCAAATTATGATTTGACCCAAAAAATATCCAAACATTTAACATTTTTATAAAACCATCATTGGGTTTTAAAATTATGGTTTGGCCTGCCGAAGCTATGGTTTCATCAGACGGAAAACAAAAATGGCTTTGTTTCTTAAGGGTTAAATATTGTCATTGCATATAATTATTACGGTGTCAGAGGTTGGCCAACACAGTATGTGTAGTACAGAAATACCCTTTAGCAAAAACCAAGAGCTCCGTCCAGTGACCTTACCCCATGTTTAAAATCTTTAAGATAAATAATATTTTCCTGTTTGGAAAATAATTAAAAAAATAATTATTTTTCTTAAAACATATTTAATTTTATATTTTATAAATATATACACATTATTAAATATTAACTAATTATTTTTATATATTATTAATTATGTTGACAAAAAATATATTATTAACAAATTTATTATTTTAAATAAAAATATAAATTAAAATCTATATTTTATGTAATTATTATATTAATTTATGTCCTTTTTAATAATTTGCACGTGAAAAAAAGTGTTTCTTATAATAGCTATCTAACACTCTCATTTTATCAAAACTATATTGAGAATCTATTTTCAAAATAATTTTTTAAAAAAATTATTATTTAAATTATGATTTGATTTTATCTAAACACCTTCCAGTTACTTCCAACCACTTGTTTTGACGGTAATCTGACCCCAAAAAAAAAAAAATTTCTTCTCCCATGCCTTCAATCGACATTAAAGTTTGGGTTGAAAAGTAAACACCCCTCCATCCAACATCAAGTTTGCGAGTACCAGTGCATTCATTGCAACCGGCCCCGGTTTGAGGGTACGTATTCTCATTGACTTGACTTCATTTGGATGCACTCGGAAATAACGTTTCGCTTGCTTGCGTTGAGCACTAACCGGGGGTTACTTCCTGTTCAAAATAGAAGTTATTTTTAATAAATTTGTATTAAACTGATTTTTTTTTTAGAGAATTAATGAGAAGGACCTAGATTTCTCAGAAAGTGATGGTTACTAAGAAATTCGTCAGCTAACATATTCTTTGAAACCGACCTTTGCTGTTTTTTCCTATTCCACAAAAAGTAGAAAAGTACGTAGACCAGAAAATTAAAGCCCCCTCGATCTCATCTTTTCCCATATTGCTGTGAAGAATTTGCTCCTCATCACTTACATTTGATAATTGAGACAAATTCTTAGATCTTCGAAATCATTCTATTATACAGGAAATTTTTAATTCAAAAAAAAAATTAGCATCGAATCTGCTTTCAACTTTACCTTGTGAAAACCAGAGTTTTCTCGTTGCCCAAATCTAAGAGAAACTCAGGAAAAGCGATCAGAATTTCTCAACGATCCAAAATGCGAGAGAAATAGATTGTAGGAAGTAGCTTTGTCATGGCAAATTCCGACAGAAGAAAATTTTATCATAAAATATCCAAGAGAAAATATTTTTTCTAATGAAAATTATTGAAGAAAAATTATTTGTATTTTTTTTTATGAATTTTCTTTAAAATAAATTTTTTCACATGGAGTTATTTGAAAGAAAATTCTCTCAAGTAAAGAAATTTTCTCTAATTTTTTGAAAGAAACCCTTTCTAATGAATTTTCTGTGAAAACAATCAAAATTTTTTAAATAATATGCAGATTTATCATCTAAATATTTAATTATATTTTATAACTGCCTAGTATTTCACAATTGAAGGAAAATTATCAATTTAATAAAAGGTGACAACAAACACTAGGGCCTTTTTCTATTGATAACAATAACTATTCTTGAATTCTAATTTTTTTCCTCTCTTCTATTCAAGTGTTTCCAACAAGGTATTTTTAATGAATGTATGCATATCCTTGAAAATTTAGAAGATTTAGGCATTATTATTTATAAGATTTTTTCTCCAAAATTTAAGAAGTAATTAATTTTTTTTAAAAAAATGTGCTTGAAAATAAAAGCTAGGAGGGAGGGAGAGTTAGGGAGAGCATCTCATCAGGTGAAGAGAATTGCAAAGGAAGATAATCAAAATTATATTCCTCATGGCCATATTTGAACTTTCATCTTATAATGAAAAACCCATAATCACTTTTTTTTTGGGTGTTTTATAAGACAAAACTTTCTTGTATTATGCTGTGCAAAATTATTTAAAATAAACTAATCTAAACACTCTTACCAAAATTAATGGGAGACGTTTCCACGTGAAAGTTGGAAAATGCCTATGTGAGCCCACCTCATCTCATCTCCGATGTATAATTTGGATCGTTCACGTTCAAATATTCACACAAAGGTGTTTCTGATTGGAAGAAAACGACAAATTCATTGGGTGAAGAGTCAAGTGATCGGACGGAGCCGAAGTTACTGTTGGGCCCATCCACTCCCATATGGTGACTGAGTCAAAAAATAATAATTAACTTCTTGACTTCTTCCACGATATGCCATAATTTTTGAGACTAACAATATAAACAGAGAGATACCACTTATTTCTCATGACCATATGTTTTGAGTCAACATGTTTTAATTATTTATATTTATATAGACTAACAATGTCTCTCCTCATATTTAGTCGATAAGAAATGAGAGGTTGAAAATAAGAGTCCCATATACGCAGTATCAACGAAGCAGCATTGTTGAACTTTCAACTTGAATTAAGTACCGTGCACTATATGACATTACATTTGCTTGATTGAGCACTAGGCCACTAACACATATGTGGGCAAAAGAAAAAAGGCAATAAAGGGATGCATCCAAAATATAACCAATTGATTACATATAACTAAAGGATTTTTGGGGCCTCATTAAAATTTTGAATTTGTTTTGTCCCAAATACAGACGCGAATGTGACTATGTAAGAGTTCAGGAACTCATCATTATACCGCCTTGTAGGAATTCGTTGAGCGGTTGTATTTAGTCTTAAACATAGAATCTCAACCTTTATGTTCTTTTCAAATTAATCTTATTAATTGCACATATTTGAAATGATTTTCAGAGTTTTGATCAGGTTTATTTTATATCCCCGTTTTATACTTGATTTTGTACTTGAAAAAAGAAAAAAGAAAAAAGAAGTACTACTTCCAATCTTTAATATAAGACTCCGTTTGACTTTTGTTTTAGTTCTACATATAAAACCCCAATCCACTTTGTCTCTCATATTTATACATTGTGTTCCAAGATAGTCCTTTTAATAATGATAGTTCTAACTAATACACTTGATTACCAAGGATATTTTAGGAAAAATAACACTTATTTACTATAAGTAACTAACTTAACTTATTTTCTTAATCTCCTTAAATTTGTCAACTAGCTTTTATAATTAGGACCGGAGGTACTATGTTATTAACTCTATTTTATTAGATTATGTGTATTTTGTATAACGATGTTCTATTTACTTATTAATTAATCTTTTATTTAAATATTACTCTTTTTAGTGTTGTATATATAATTTTTTTTATATTTTTAATTAAATTAAATTATTTCAATTTCGATAAGTCCCAAATTCCTGAACTATTGTCTTAACTAGTTTAACAATTTTGATTCTCAGTACCCTTAAGTTTTGCAAATAATATAAGATTAGATCGAAGACTTTTAGGTTAGAATGGAGGATCGAGCATATGCTTTTCTTAAGCATATGCTAACTGTTGGAACCATGAGGGGGAATAACGAAGACGGGAAAATTCTCTTCGATCCCACCTATTATTATCTTATTTGTTTCCAAGATCATGTGTGGTCTGCCTAGGTTTAATAATTTATAGGATATGCAATTGAAGGCACATATAAATTAGCTACATGTGCACATTACCGGATAGCAACATCATCTTTGCTCATGAACGTTACTTGGATATTGCTTTGCATCTTTCTATTATATTAAATTTAAAATAAAAAAGTAGCAAGGAATCTCCTTTCAGCTTTGTGTTAATATTTTTCATCCTTAAACTTTTCACAATAAATTCCCATGGAATGTTAGATTTGTGCAAAGATCTTCTATTACTAATTAGCACGCTACTACTGCCTCTCTCGGCCTTTTGGGTAGTATCTGTTCTTATCAGTTTTTTTTTTTGTAATTAGCACGCTATTTCATCCATAAAAAATGTAATGTTACTTGTAGATGGTTTAAACTTGAAAGCTATCTTCACATAACTTAAATTTTAAAAAAATATTTCTACAAAGAAAAATATTATAATAGTGGCATAACTAAATGAGAGAATCAATTTCATGGATTATAAAAATTTAACAGGACGTCAACGTTTAACACAAATTAAAACGACATGTGGAGACCAGCCATATAGGAACCAGGGCATCTTCGCCACATTAAGGTTCTATTTCTCTTCAACACACATCCAAAACACATGACACACACACACACACACACACACTATTAAAAATGGAAATTATTAAGAATAGAAATACAACTACAAATAAATAACTTGAAGGTTCTCTTGCATCGTTGCATTCTATTTTTGATAATAAAAAATTAAGAAAATGCATCGTTATCCCCCCCCCCTCACAGTTTTCTTGTTCGTCCCCTCCTTAATTATTACCTTCTGCTTCCCATTCTTTATCATATTTCCCACCTCCATATTTCCCCACACAAACCGTTTTCAATTCTCTTCCACACCGCTTCCATAACTACGAGAAATATCAATATGAATGAAATCTCCACTATCTCCGAGCTCGAACAAGAAGAATTGCTTCTCAAATCAGAGGGCTTCAATATCAAAGACAAAGATGGACAGGGCCGCAAGATCATATCCCCCGCATTATTGGCACATACTTCCCCCAGCGACCTCAATATCTTAAGCAGTATTCAAATTACTTGTGTATCCACATTATATCTTGTGAATTCGAATAATGATTATTTATTTGGATGAAACAACGCGAGTGATGAGCGTAGATGATATGAGAAAGCATCTAGAAAAGAGGATTTTCCCCTGACTGGAAAAGAGATATTGATAGAGACAGAGACTGAGGGAACTTTTAATACCATTAACGCAACCGTGAATTAGTTTAGATAGGATCAGAGAGGATGCAGAAGTTTGGCGTAGGATAATTTTGTAATTGTAAATTTATATTTTAATCTTCGATCCTTTAAAATAATTAGAATTTTTAAGATCTTTTAGATAAATTGCATTTTATCCAGGTCCTTCTCACAATTTTTCTCCTTTTTTTTTTGGCTACCCATAAGTGTCTCTTTATTAGAGGCAATCCTATTTCAGATATTGTCAGGTACTAAATACTGACACCTCTTCCAACAAGAATTTGAATTTTGATTCGTTATGATATAAGAAACTAGCCCATTTTACTAGACTCAAATCCTATTCACCCCTTGGGGGGATGTGGTTGTGTGAAAAGTCCAGGACAGGATAGGATGCGATGGAGCCAACATTACTATTGGGCCCACATATTGATTGCGTCAACCGCATATTAAAGATAAAAATATGTTCTTGACTTCTTCCTTGATGTCCCACTTAATACTCCCTTAATATAAAACCTATTTAAGAAAGTTGAAAGTTAAACAATACTACTTCATATTATATATAAGAAAGTTAGGTAAATAAGTTAATTATAAGAAATATGACATATTTTTTCTAAAACACCATAATTATCTTTCTTAATATCCTTCCTTCTCCCTCACTTACTTGATTATAGTTAAGGGAGTATTTATAAGAGTAATTTAAGAAAAATTGATAAATTGTCTTTTGTTTGGGGCCAAATTAACTTAACAATTAGATTCTATATTAAAGACCAGAAGAGTAATATAAATAGGAATCTCACTTATTTGTGGTGACCCTATATATGCATAGAGCTAAATGTGTAACTATGCATGTTTTTATTCTTTTTTTTTTTTTAATTTGCCATCTTTCACTCACTAAAAAAAATTTACGCATTCATATTTCAGAAAGACTTGAGTGGTTCTAATAAGTGTTATTGGGACAAAAGGCTTTCACACCATATTTTAATTATTTATACTTATACACACAATCATTTCTCTCATATATTTAATTGATAGGAATGAGAGGTTGGAAAAAGAATACCGTGCACTATGAAATTACGTCTCAACGCATATCTGCTTTCACCCCCCCGGAAGGGGGGGGGGGACAGTATATGCACTTGCCAATCAAGAAATTTCGTACTTTGAATTTGTATCACCAACACATGCAAAAAATAAATATAAGATCTCAATTCATTCAATTTTAATTTTAAATTTATAATTTTTCATCATAAATTATCCTTATTAAATTATACATACATATGTATGTGTGTGTGTGTATTTTAAAAAAGGCTTCCATGAATAGGGTTATAGTTTCAATGCAGATGATTAAAATTTTTTTCCCCCAAAAAAAAAAAAAGCAACGCATATTTTTTAACTCTCAATTTCTATTGTTTCTTTTTTCTAATTAGAAAAACGCAGTGCATGATAGTATGATACAGAAAAGTGGAGGTGAGCAAGATCATAATGAGCTAGCCATGTCTATATAAATGTTACCATATAGCTAGTGAGCATTACCTAACACACAGCAACGTAAGTAATAACCAAATGAATGACCAGATGTGTCCACAGACGAGCAGATATCTCAGCGATCTCTGTCGGTAGTGTGGCGTGCGGATGAACAGACTTTAGTTCAGTTGTTACAGGCGGACGCGTCAATCCTCGCCAACATTCCGTCTGGCTGTCAAACTCCGCTGCACATATCAGCACTGCTAGGTAATGTTCCGTTCACAGAGGCTCTTCTCCATCGCAACCTCGCCATCACAGGGGATTCTTCTGGAAGAACAGCCCTCCACTTGGCTTGTCAGAGGGTAACTTTGCGGATTGTGCAGATACTGCTACACTTTAATAATGAGCTATGCTTGGTTCGTGATGGAGAAAAAAGAATTCCTCTGCACTACGCAGCTATCAGAGGCAGAACTGAGGTTGTGCAAGAGCTGATCATGGCAAGTCCAGATTCTCTAAGTCTTGTTGACGGAGAAGATAGCACTGTTTTTCACTTGTGTGTCACACATAACCATTTAGACACTCTCCAAACTTTGGTGAAATTGGACTATGCCACTGCCAATATTACTGCAGGCCAGCCACGTCCTCCCATCTTTACGGGGCGCCCTGATCGAGCTAGGAACACCATTCTACATTTAGCTATCATGTTAAAGCGAGTTGAGGTATATCCAATATTCTTTTACCGTCCTATTTCCCCCTTGTGAGAACAATAGTTATGTTTCCCCCACACCCCCCCTTCAATTTACATACACTTTGATTAATGGTCAAGGTTAGTTAAAGTATCATAAATTGAATTAGTTTTCAATATTATTCTTAATACTTTTTGACCAAAAAATTCTTAAATTAAATCTCAGGTGTCCCATATTAAATTTGAACGATTGAGATTTGATGAGCATTGAAATTGGGTTCGCAAGACATATATATGTGGAGAAATATTTTATACTTTGAGAAGCCCTATAAGGCAATTATATAACAAACTTGAGATACTTTCTAAAAGATGCTTGATGCATAGGACCAGAGGGAGTGTACATTGACATATAAATAAACAATGAATTAGCTGTTCTTATATTACTAAGTTCCTGATTATCTGTATATGTACAGGAATAAAAAATCATATATAATTGATTGAACATTTTGCGATCATGCTTGTTTATTTTAGGTGGTGAGCTATCTGCGGTCAATTCCAGAAATAATGGGGTTCACAGCTGACGATATCCTCATGAAACGAAGTCCAAAAGACTTGGAAATCTGTGAAATACAACACATGTTGACGCCAGAGGAATTTGAAATAACTGGTGTGGTGCGTGTTCATGATGATGAATGACCCTTGCATTAAGATGTGTAAGCACGCTATAATTATTGTGTGATAGTGTTTATGGATTGCTGAAAGCAAAAGGACGATAAATGGCTTGGAGAGATGATGGGCATCTGAGTGTGGTGTCCTACCTTTATAGCGACCATAACCTTCCAAGGTTTGATTAACCACCTGTTGGCTTTATTTCAACAAGGCTTACCCCACCATCATCTCAGGGAATCCCCCCTCATCATCATCAAATAAGTCACTCTCATCAGATGACCTCGGCTGCAACCACCATCCTGCTCCCCTCGATAATCGCACGTATTGTCCCGGGCAAGCTTTGGCTTCATCCTCCCGTCTCCGTATTGATCTTGAGAGCTATTTATTTTACGT